ATCCAAAATTTACAATCCTCGCAGTCTCCGGACATCATCAGGCAGCCTCCTTGATCTCGGTGTAGTCCATTGAGAGAACATTGACCCATTTGTAGCCGGCTGCCTTCATGCACTTGGGGCACGACCTATTAGGGGTAGCCTCTGGAGGATTGGGCTCCTCGTCTAGGGTGAACCAAGGCTTACAACATGCTGGACAATTGAATTTCATCAGTATCTCCTCGGTTCAGAAATCCAGGCGGTCGCACACTCGCATTTATCGCACCATCCGCAGTATGCGGTTTTACGGCGGTCCATCTCGTAAGCATCTGCCTCGACATCCTTGAGGGGGCCACCGCACTTCCTACAATGCATCAATAGTCCTCCTCATCATCGCATTCGGCATCGGTGTCGAATCCTTCCTCACCGTTGTCGTTGTCAAAATAAGACCACCATTTTTCACCGCACTTATCGCAGGTCCAACTTGGCAGCTTCCAAGTGTGGAGATCGATGCTCTGATAGGTCCATCCGGTGCGTCTGATGGTTCCGGTGCATCCAGTCACTGGAGATCCACGAAGCTGAGGGAGATTCTGAGCTTCGAGATCTGCGTGGATCTGAGACTTCATGCCATCACTCCGACGACTGCGTTGCGTCTGCTACTGATGTGTATATCGGAGTAGCGTCCGGTTGCGCGGATTTGGGTGATTCTGTCAAGCATCTCGAAGAGACTCCTGCATTTGGAGAGGTCGATAAGGACCTCTACCGAAGTATTGATATTATCCTCTGTATATGTCATACTAATCACTTAGATTCGCCAAGGTTTTCTGATTGGTAGTCGGACCTTGGCGTTATTCTTCTTCAGTTTGTTGCCATCCCTTTTCTAAGGATCACTCTTGCGACATCGGCGATTTTTCTCCCTTCGTCGAGTGACCGCTTTTCCAGGAGAGCATATTCGGATTCAGTCAGTCTTATGCCGACGGTCTTCGTCAGTTTCTCCATGTTAGCAATATTAACAATTTTGTATTTAAAGATAAGTGCTAACATTGTTAGCGACAAAATTAAAAATTGTCAAAAAATGGGATTTTTCGATGGGTTCAACAATCGGAGCACGGTTTCCGGACGACATTCTGAAAGAAATCGACAAACTAGTAGAGTCGGGAGATTTCGGATCTCGCGGAGAATTTGTGCAGTATGCAGTCAGGAAGATCCTGAAGAATTATAGTGGAAGAATGTAACAAAAAATGGGATTTCTCCCAAATTTGTTACATATTCTAATTTTTCTGTTTTTTCTTCTCCTTCTTGAGTGCTGCCTTGAACATCGCCTTGGTGTCCATCGGTGCGACTTCCTCCAGGAATAGTTTTGTCTCGGCTTCGTTGAGCTCCTTCATGAAGTTCTCCGTCGCCTCCTTCCTCTTCTTCTTGGAGAGCTGCATATTCATCGCCATCATTCCAAGAGGATCCGCGAGCTTGTAGCCGAGAGTATACTCAGGTTCCGGAGGATCCGTACGACCCTGACAAATGGCCTGAGCCATCTCCCATTCCACTTCCTCCTCCTTCATAACATATTTGATAAACTTGACCTGGGCCTCGGCCTGGAGACGGTCGTGGAGGTCCCATGCAACTTCCTTACTGATTGTCCTTATTTTTCCCATTAAATCACTCCAGTGCTTTCCTCGCCTTCGATAATCTGTTGTAAAAAGTCTGCGGACTGTTGATGCCGAAGGTCGCCATGAGCTCGTCACGGTCGACTCCGGCATTGTACATCTTCAGGAGGATGTAGTCCTCCCTCTTGCACTGCTCCTCATATTTTGATTTGTATTTCGCACCGGCAGACTCGCCTCCGTCGGTGATCTGTTTAATCTTGCGCTCCTGACTCCTGAGCTTGATTGCCTCGTATGTCTTCTTCGCCTCTTCCGGCATCTGATCATACTCGCCGTAGCCGATTGTGACCATCTTGCCGTATTCGTTGCGCTTCTTCAGCTCGAAGTAACCTCTGGCCTTGTTCTCGGAGTGGTCGAAGTCCATCGCGCCGCATCTCAGCAGATACCTGATGCGATGCTCGCGAATGTACACATCAAGACGTTCATGGTGAGGTATGCACATGCCGAAGCTGATGGACCTGCTGCGCATCATCTCAAGGAAGGCGACGAGATCCTTGTTCCCCTGAGTATTCCAATCTCTATTGTTCGCTATATTCGAGCCTTCATCCATCCAATAGGTAGTTTTCGAAGAATCGCCCGATCTGAGCTTTTCTTTAAACTCCTCCATCTCATAGGTGTACTGTTTCTCCAGGTCAAATGAAGGATCATATGCCGAGAGCACCTGATACATCAGGTTGGACTTTCCCGAGCCCTCAGGGCCCTCGCATACGACGACGTTATCGTAGCCGTTTTCGATATTCCGATGCATATCCTTGGCCAGTGCCTCGATAAGGCCCTCGTAGAGGTAGCGGACGAACACCTTGCCGGAGCTCCATCTCATCACCTTGGTATCTTTCACCACGAGCTCGCCGATTCCCGAGGATCTGACGTCGCCCGGTCCTTCGACGATGAGCCTCATGCCTGCTCCTCGCCGCGCTGCCAGCCCTGGACCTCGGGGACCTTGCCGATTCCGGTCAGGTCGTCCCTGGCGCGTCCCTGCCACGAGCAGGACGTCCTCAGGAGGAGCTGACTCTCCTGGTAGCCATATTTACTGTTGAGCGCCATCGACGTGAATCCCATCAGCACCGCCTGAAGCTGAGCAGGGCTGACGAGGTTCGCCATGATCTCGAGATCAGGGCCCGAGGTAGAGGTCAGTTTGTCGATACATACATCCTTTGATTGTTTTAGTTCCATTTCATTCACCTCAGTGGAAGAAACCGAGCATGTACATTCCGAAGATTGCACCTACTCCGATGATTGCGATCATTGCGATCTTTTGAAGGTCCATAGTCTGCCATGCAACTCTATTCATTCCCTTGAGGAAGTTCTGAGTCGCATTGGAGGTCATTGAGTCGTGGAGAGTTGCAGCAGTGTCCTGAGAGTAGAGGAATCTGCCCTCAGAGTCCTTTGCATGCACGTCGAAGATCTTCGCGTTGTTTATCCTCATGAATACGGGCACACCGGAGTAGACGATGGAGTCATAGAGTCCGTCGACCTTGAGATAACCCTGACGCTGAAGGTCCTCGGTTTTGTCGGAGGTCCAACGGTCATATCTCGAGTAACCTTCCGACCATGTGCCGGCTACGGAGTCCTGCATGGTCTGATATTTCTGGAAAGAGATATCGACCTTGAGCACTCTCGTGCCGAGTGTGTACTGAATCAGTCTGTCCTTCAGGTCGACGAATTTCTTACCGAGAGTTTTGTCCGTGTAGTATTTCGATACCTTATCAGGAGTGCCCTCGAGCATCTTGGAGACGATGTGCTGCGCGAGGATGTACGCGATGACAATAACCCATAGTGCCAGCACTCCATAAATGACCGTCACGAGAATGTTCATAATCCTCCCCCCATGATGAAGCCGTAGACGATGCATGCGACGATTACGAGAGGTATCATATATTTCTTGAGATTGCCTGCGTCAAGGAATCCCCACACTCTTTTTTGATTTCCGGAATACTTCGCGGAGCCGATGAGCGCACGGGTGTAGTCAGGATCTACGAGCTTCGCCTCGAGTAGGTAGGGCTGAGTCGAGTCGATGGGGTAGAAATACATCGCATCATCGGTCCTCTGGTCCTTCAGGCAGAGATCATCATCGGCCCGGTACAACCTGGAGGCTATCGAGACCATTTGACGGTTTTTGCGCTTCATCTTGAATATCGTAATGTGGTCTTTTTCGATTCTGCATAGATATTTCATTTACTTACCACCCACTTCGAGCCGATTATACTATTATACAATAGTGCACAAGACTGTACACTGTCCACTATATATATACGGTAATGTATTGTTTTGTACATGGCTCAGGGCGGATTAAGTGTGAACGCAGTGGTGCTAACGATCATGGCGGTCGCAGTCGGCCTTTTGATGGTCGGCAGCCTCCTTGCGCCAATTTCGGCTGATGTGATTACTCAGCTCCTCGATATCGAAGACTATGGCGAGACATGGGCCAATATGGTCTCTGCTACCGTCGTGTTTACGATCCTCGGGCTCGTAATCTTGGCCGTTAACTCTTACACCAGTAAGAGGTAAGTAAGGAGGCTTTGAACATGGCATCAATGCAGAAAATCGTTGGAGCAGTCATCGCAATCACTGTTAGAGGATCTAGAGTCGCGGCTCTGTCCGGCAAGTGTGATTGTCGTTGCATCTGTACTCGCACCTACAATCGCAGAATACACCGCAGAGGGCGGAGCACTTGCTGAGTGGTCCGGACTCCTCGGAGCAATCGTCGTCCTTTCCGTTGTCGGAATCATGATGGTTGCCGTCGGACTCATCTCCTCCGGTAGGAACTAAGCGAGTTGAATGACCGACCCCCGGCGGTATATCCGGGGACTTATTACATATCAATAGGAAGGAAGACCGATGCTGACTGAAGGAGTATTACTCGCAATGGGAGTCAGTCTTCTCCTTCTGCTTCTCGGATTGAAGATGAAGGCAATGCCCGTCATCTTCATCTCCTCTCTCGGCTGGCTGATCGCCGGCCTTCAGGTCTATCAGCAGACTGAGGAAGTGCTGCCGATGGCCCTTCTCCTAATGCTCTCCTTCAGTCAATTCTTCCTCGTAAGGAGGGAACGCTGATGGAGCTCACTTTCAACAACATTATCGACTATGTGGCCACTTATGCATTCGGTGGATCCACGACACTCGCAGGCCTCGCCCTCCTTATCGGAGCCTGGGCAGTCTGCGCAGTCATCTGCCTGAATCTCAAGGCACCGCCTACCTACACCGTCGTTCCGATGATTCCTCTCGCGATCTTCTTCGCTGCTTACGGAATCCTCAACGAGACCATCATGGTTATGATTATCCTGATCTCCGCCGTCCTGGTCGGAATCGAGGCTAAGAAGGCGGTTGACTGAAATGGCAGCAGATTCCTCCGACGCGACCCTGATGAAGGTTGCGATCTTCGGCATCACCGTCTCCCTGATCTGCACCGTCATGATCTCCGTCATGATCGCAGGGGAAGGAGGCGACTACGACTATGACGCTATTCAGGGCTACCGCAACGAGCTCGTAGAGTTTTCCGGAGAGTCTATGCTCAATCAGACTCCCTGGGTGCTCCAGCATGTGTACACCCCTTGGAACGAGTCCGTAGATCCTGCAACCCATACCACTGATGGATGGTTGTGGGGGGAGGAAATCGAAGACTATCCCGGACTCGGCTCTTCGGCTCAGATCCGTCTCGACCCTACTCAGAAATCGACCGTATTGCTCGGCTACACCGAGGACAGAATCCAGTACACCCAGGTTGACGGCTATCAGTTTTGGAGCTCCAAGAACGGCGGAGTATGGCAATATGTCAACTACGTCGTCCCCATCGAGAA